TGTGAAGAGTGGTACAGATAGCCCGACAGAGATCGTCCGCTCTTAACAGTTCGCCTTTGTAGCCTGTAGAAAGGAAAGGGTAAAAGCATATTTTCCTGTAAGTGTCTAGTGGAATGATTAGTTTACCGGTGAAGTGGAAGTTCACCGGGTGAGGTGGTGTGCTTTGCATTTCCATGTCAATGACATTCAGCACTTTGGGGGAGTGGAATGTACTTTTATTCGTTAAATGGCTTTTTTGCCAGTTCCAGTGTGCATTAGTAGGTTTTCTACTTGCTGTGCTCTCGGAATCGCACATTCTTTTCCTTCAAGACTTGTGCATGTGTGTGTGAATCAGGCGACCTTTTGGCCACTTCCTTTGAACCATTAATAATGTAAATGCTTTCAATGCTTGCTTTTAGAATGATTTAAGCCGCTGAAAGTTGAATATTTTTTAAATGCATTTAATGATTGCTGTAGGGATTTTGACTCAAATATGATTTTGAAGAATGCCTTAATTTTGTTTTACGCTTCACATGGTGAATCATCAAGTCTGTCAACTTTATGGTGAGATCAAAAGGTCTTTTTATAAATTTTTGTCTCACTCTCGCATTCTACTTAATATGCATTAGTAGCAGGGTTCCCTCAACTATTGCTTAAATGTCTTGTCCATTATCCCATCTTATTGTTATCCTCAGATGGAGTTGGCGAAGTTGAGCTGCATGCGCTGCTTGCCCTGTTAATAAACAGCTGAAAACGCAACTTTTATATGTCATTAAAAGTTGGGTATGCAATCGTATGTTGGCACTTGCAAATGGTAACGCTGGTACTAAACCCTGTAGGAGTGTTTAACGCATTTAGCTGTTAGCATTTAAAGGCAAAGTTAACTGTTACATAGTTTAATTTGAGCCATGATCAAAGGTAATCAGATAAATGATGTTAGCAATTCCTTAAAGAGATGCCAATATTAAAGTTAACTCTACTCTTCTTAATTGCAAAAAGCGAAAAGATTTAGTACATGAAATTAATTAATTTACTTTAAGGTTTCAGACACTTATTGTTGTACACCAGATGCCGAATTCTAGACTTCATTTCTAGTCTATCCATCTAGTGCCGACCTACATAGGTGTAGGCTGTATAAATCTAATTTCTTTAGCGGAAATCACCTACAAAAGTAAAGTTTGCTAACCTCATTTACGGTTACATTTGTATTATTTGTCTTTAGGACACGATTATTAGTTCCAAGTTGAATTTAACGAAGGAGATGACAATTTTTCAATAGCCAGTTTGAGTTAGCAAGGGTTAGTGGGAGTTGAAGTTGGCGGCTAGTCAAGTTCACGCCTAGATGCCTAGGAGAGCAAACACTCGTCATGAAAATAACCTATCTGTAGTCATTGTTTTGTTTGTACCGACTTCTTGAGCATACCACATTTCCTACTCCTTTCTGTTATCAAAATACACATTCTATTCAACTATAGCTTTTCCTCGGTCACAGACGATCTCTGACTCCGTAGTGGTGATGGCAGGTGGTGAATTAACTTACATTTTGATTTCCACTACCAAGGCGGAATGAACGCATTACTAGGAATAGAAGAATCGTTGCTGATCCCCAACTGGAAGGATGGAATGGTGCCTACCTTCTGCGATCACCTTAATCTCGTGGAGATGATCATGGCAGGGCGAAACAACATACTCATCAGGAACCAAGTCGTCCAGAATGAAATTGCCACCACGATCCTCCACCATATCCGTCTAACGATGCCATCATCGTGAATGGACGTAAAACGCTATCCATTCCATAGATCTACTTTTAGGCCAGTATCTCAACCCCTAGCTACAAACAGGAGGAGTAGCTGGTATAATTTTCCTGTCGTTTTCCTTCCTCACTATAACCCACTAACCGAACCGAGCAAAAGTCTACAGTGGGCAGAATTAACAGGAGAATGTAATGGATTCTTTCTGGCCCCAAGAAAATCCAGTGACTTGTAAAATTTGTTCGTGGGTACCTCCTCGAGGGGTTGCTGACGTTTGGATAAAAGACACAAATGGTTGGCCAAGGCGAGTCACGGGACGTCATTTAGAAGCGGAGAGGTGAATGATGAGTCTTTCATTTGTATACTTCTCGATATGAGGTAAAATGTCTTGTTTAGAATATTTCAGTTGGCTAGCTGTCCTAGTTGCTGTAGTTCAAGAAAAATTTTTGCGGTACATGTAGCCCCGGACTTTTCTCCAGGAGGCAATTTGCTTGCAAACGTTTTATTCTGCATCCCAAGAGAGTGAATTCAATAATATAAGGCCTGAAGGGATCATCGGATCAAAGCGGGACTAGGCATCAATCTGTTCTTTTAGTACGACGTTCTGTAGCATATTCCGCCCCTAAACTGAAATGCCGGTTTAAACTGCAAGTTTAGTGCATCACAGTATAGTATTGTTGTCACGTTTTTGTCCTAAAATGGAGGTCAGGGTGTTGGATTTCCCCATATTTGTGTCTAAAATCCTCGCTGTAATTGGACCTAAATCTTTATAATTTTTGAAAAAATGATCAAGTTTCTTACTTTAAACATCATTATTTTTTAATTAAGTACCTGCAAAAACAAGACAAATGACAAAATTTTTTTATAATACCCCAAAAAGTTTTGTTTTAACAATTAGTAGTGTTGGTAATACACAGGAGCGAACCCGCAACTGCACTATCAAATTGAAAGTGATTAGCTCCAAAGGGGCTTTGGTACAGTGAAACAAATCTGGTGACAGCTCCATGGAAATGAGTGAACTTTTTTTGCTGTAGGTCAAAGAGTAGTTTGTAGTAGTTGCATGAGTAGCTTGTCCTGGTCAGAAAAATTGCAGGCAAATCATGAGAAATGAAAACAAAAAAATGTAAGTCTTGCTGGCGATTTCAATGGGAGATGTTTTGTATAGAGCAAGCACAACAAGGTCAAGAAGAACAGCTTAGCCTAACAATAATGTCTCCATCCCTTTGAAAACGCGAGAACTTTGTCTTTTCACATTACAATGCAAGGGAGCCCTGAATTTTAAAATTAAAATAATTGCGCAGTTATTTAAACCGAATTGCGCTGTTGAGAATTATGGTTAGGCAAATCAAAGGCTTTACAAATATCACCTGCTTTGATTCCTCATTTCGACGTCTAAAATTTTGTTTCATAGTTAAAAAATTTCCCCTTTGAATCTTAAATTAGTAACTTGGTTGCATAGGAAGTACAAAAGTTGAGAGCAGTAGGATTGAAGGCGTAAAATTTAAACATCCGGTAACTAAATGGGGGAAGGTGCAGATGCCTTTGATAAGAATTTAAAAACAGGCCTTTGGAGCAGCACTGCTACAAAGATCAAATAGCAGTGGTGATAAACATGAGCCACATGTAGGGCACCAAAAGTAAAGAATTTGGAGATTTGGTTTTATAACCGGACGCCAAAACACCTTAAACAGCAGCTGATCTCAGAATCGGTCATCACGTCTTTAATGAAAGGAATTTTGTGACATTATATGGTTAAAATTTGGCGACTTTGGTTATTAAAAAGATTTTGTTTTCGATTGTTGAAGTTTGATCATTGTCCATGCGGCGTTTATATTTAATATTTTTTCCGGTGGTCTGAGATCTACCGCATGTGAAGAAGTAAAAACAGTACGCATGTTGGTTATAACCCATAGCAAAGTAATGTGGATTGTTCCTTTATGTCATTTTACAAATTGTATTCGTTGACTTATTCCTGCTGAGCTGTCGAAATGCAGTGTCTTTTACTACCTAACAAAGTCCTGGAGAGTTAAAGGCACATATAGGGCTGCATACTTATGCTCAGTTAGAAAAGATGGACATGGAACTCTGACTTTGCCTAAAGGCCATCCAAGGCAGCCGAATTAAGGTGGTCGCCATGGTGGGTGCCATTCATAAAGGTAGTCAAACATACGAAATATTGCATTGCTCCTCTTTTCTTTTCGCCGCCCCTCTCCCACTCCAACTGTCGCAACCCGTTTTGTGTCGCGGAAAAGTGCCTGCGGACCAGCCACATCGGTTATCAAATCCTAATGACTGAGGAAAAGTACTTCATTTTCGCATAAGCTTCAAATGGATCTGCATTTACGTTCGGAGTTTGTGCAGGAATAAGTTGTGTGTACGGCTATACTTCGGACTACTGGTCTAAAGTACATTCATAAAGAGAAACATGGGTCGAACACAGACTCGTGTGAACAGGGACTTAGCGTAGTTTCGCGGATGTAGTAAGGAGAACTCCGAAATGAAACTTTTCCAGGTGGTTAACGACAGTTTCGCTTCATTTGTTAATTGCTTACATGTGGCTCAAGCGGATTGAGCGGGAGCCAAGCACAGACTTCGTCCTCAACTTTTCCACTGTGAAGAAATTTAAATTTCTTCCACCCAAAATATGTCCGCCTTAATCACATCGCGGAAGCTTGTCACTAATCAGGATAGAAATGTCGAAAAAGTTTGGTCTGTTTTCACCTGCTGTTGGTGCAACACCCCCAGACTGCCCAACAGACATTTACTAGGGCCAAAATATTTGTATTTAGGGAGAAGTGCGAGTGTTTAAGCCTTGGCTTAGCCCGAATGCCTGCCTAGGCAAAAATGTATGATGATTGCCAAACTGACCACCATATACGCAGGAAGTCGAATAAACAAAGTATTTCAGTCCCCGTCAACGGCATGCGGTCTACATCGTGCTGGGGAGCATTGGGCAATTCCTTTTCAAGGTACTGCCAACAATGGGGGCTGAGAGCGCATCAAGACCTGTGCATGTGAAGGCAAAGGTGTGTGGCATAAATTTATTGCTAGGCATGTGACTGCACTAAAAACTTTTCTTTCTCTCTAACAAGCTTGATAATATAAAGACGATAAATTTCGTCCCCACATGCTGCTTACATCTGCACACAGACCTAAGACAAGAGAAAAAAAGTGCTTTATAATGTTCCTTTGATCAACTTACCCGGATAATCATATCAAAGAAAAATTATTCACGATATAAATAAGTGCATTTTATCTAAAGTGTTGCATTTCCGTGCAAGTAACACCCAATTTTGGAATAGATGTACACATGTCAAGCACATGAAGTGTCCATCTTGACACCAGACACTACCGATGTTATGAAGTCCATCACATTGCTATGGCTGTCCCTTCAAACGAAAAAAAAAAAGGATTTTCATTTTCATTTTGTGTACATTAGTAAAATGTACAACCGTAGAGAAAATTTAACTCTCGAATATGCGGATTAAACGGTTCCTTAAAGCCCAACCCTACCTCCCCATGTTTATTGTCCCATGAACTTAGCATGGAGCGATTCCTACAACACCCTTCCATTTTATTGCCACAATGTAACATTGGAAAGCATTTAAGCGCTTGTTGCTTTGTTTCGTGTTCGGATACTACAAGACTGCTCACTAGGCTATTACAAAATAAAATACACCGACTCGCTAACCCACTTTTATTTGTACTTTCTAGAACAAAAAGTGTCCCATCCTCCTTAATTACGCAGTGAAAAGGCGTTTTCGAGATCTCATGGCATATATCATGGAAAAGAAAGAGTGAGCCAGAGGAAAGTTACAGCCATAAAATCTACCTAAGTCACTGGCAAAATGTTCTAACCTTTAGCTTCACCACCCCTAAAAATTGTGGAATTATAGTAGTAGCAGAGTTTTAGCCAACACACTATTATTATTATTATTATGAAAAGAAATTATATGGTGCATTTTAGGGATAAAATGGGAGAAGCAGAGCGCCATGTGAAAGCCACTTCGACAATTTTTGCCCATCGACCGCCTCCCGCCTGACTGGCCCCTCCGCAGTTGGTCTAATTATAGAGGCGTTATTGAAAGTCAGGATACACAGTACAGAGAATCGTGTAGGAGGTGAAGGCAAATGAGGCACATATTTCAGTCCGAGGATTAAATCAGATGGCCTCTCGAGCACGGCATCCGACCTCTGCCCTAGAAAGCTTATTTAATAAAGGCTTATGTATTAATCAATCCTTTGTCAAACCAAGTCAGTTTTTAGAACGATCAGCACAACTGCGGTGGATGCTAAAGTCGTCCTACCACATTATGAAATTGGATTGCATAGCTGAAGGCTTACTTCCGATTCTCAGCTAACTTGAGATTTTAATGGTGCACTAAAATATCACCTCTTCTTAGTCTTGCCAATTCACAGCCAAGTGGGTTGCAAAAAGTGGGAACACTTTCGACTTGCCTCGACTACATCTGTGACTTCATCAAAGGCGGCAGAGGTTAAATGTTTTTATTTCCTCCAGGAAATTAACCATACGGCAACATCATTTTATTAATGCTATCAAAAACGAAATTCGCATGGGATAGTAATGTCAAGGTTTAACCAAAATACTATCCTATATGAAGGTTTTTTGCTACTAAATTGTGTTACTATTGTCTCTCAGCGTTTGGAAGTTTCAGTAAATTCAAACTTTCTCACGCATTCTGAAGGTCACGCCAAAGGGACCATAGTGCCAAAGTCTATGGCGATTGTCAATGCCAGTGGATGCAATTTCATGAGTTTTAGTGCTTTATAAAGAAACTATGGAAGACATAGTTTGCTTGTATGGTCTATTATAAACAAGTGCCTAAATGTGATAAATTACCGTTAAGTTTGAAAAATCGCCCTACTAAAAGTGTTTATGGCTGACGCTAAGGCAATGACTTCGAAGTGGCCGCCTTTAAAATGGCATGCAATTACTCTCAAGCAATTGTATTTTGGCACACAAATGGTGATATGGGTTCAAACAAAAAACAGTAGTAAATGTTCATATCAAAGGCGAACTACCTTTCGACGATATTCTGAAGCATGAACGCAGGAAAATACAATCCTTTATTCAGGTAAAAAGCAATATTTAAGCTCACATACATATGCAAAAAAAAATAGTTAAAAGACGTTAGTGAAAACAACATTTTAAATGCCATGTTACTACACCGTGTGGCAGCATAAGTCCTAGTTTTTGTCACTGATGAGGTGTAGCAAACTCATGGTTTCACTCTGCGTCCGGGTTTAAGTTGCACCCCTCAACGAACGCAAAGCGCTTAAATTAAATTGGGCCATTGGACGAATCTGATTGGTCTTCCAAGTAAACAGCAAAACTTCAACCCATTGACCAATCACCGAGCTCCAATGAAATCAGCTGGGGACGTGAGTCACAAGTAGCGACATAATGTGGAATGCATTCTCCGAAAGGACCTTAGCGAGCTTCCTGTCATGCAACCTTCATCTTGGTCGACCACTGCCAGCCCCGTTCCAATGGCACCATTCATTCTTAAAGCTCAGGAATGCGCGCGTAGGAGAAGGCCCACAGCTCACAGACTCAAATCGCCTGGTGGAAGTGACCGAGATGTGAAAGCTCACAACGCATGGAAACGTTCGCACGTGCTTCTTCGACGTTTGGGTTCCAGGATAAATGCTATTCGAATGTTTTTAAGAACTCACAAGCGCAGCAACACCTCAACCAACTTCACTCTTGATATGCTAATGCCGCGTCCTTTTGAAAATCCAACTATACCGATGTTTGATGGGAATCTGCCTACGCGTGAGGCTATAATTGAAAGTCGAGCCAAATCAGCGCGAGTGATCTTGAATGTTGGCGGAGATAAACACGAGGTGCTCTGGAAAACTCTGGATCGAGTGCCTCACTCGCGATTAGGACGTTTGCGTTACGCTGTAACGCACCAGGACATCATGCAGTTGTGCGACGATTACAATATCGAAACAAATGAATACTTTTTTGACCGTCATCCACAGACATTTGGTTGTGTGCTAAATATGTACCGCACAGGTCATCTACATACAATGGAGGATATATGTATCCTTGCCTATCACAGTGACCTTATCTACTGGGGTATTGAAGACCACAACATGGACCCCTGCTGTCTGAGCAGGTACTACCAAAAGAAGGAGCACGTGGAGGACGAGATGAAAAAGGTGAACGAAATTTTCATGCAAGAAATGGACGACGAGTACTTTGGAGATAATAAATGCGCCATCTATCGGAAAAAGTTGTGGGACATTCTTGAAAAACCTCAGACATCTTCAGCAGCCAGAGTGAGTTATTTTTAGCTACTGTGACGGACTCACCCAAAGTCCCATGTCTTAAACTATTACTACGAAAATGGTCAAATTTGTAGCAAATACTACTGTGATTTATGCACAAAACTTTCGACAATCATAATGTTTACTTATAAATGAATGTGAGCTTTAAAGAAGATCGGTTACTCCCACAAAGCGAGCAAAATGAGGTGTCTCACTTAAGTTAATCTAATACAGCACTTTAACAAATTTTTCGTTGATTACAAAACGCTGCTTCTTTTAAGACAGATTGAAATCGTATCATTTTTGTGTGTGTTTAGCACCCTAAAAGGCGCCTGATTGTTACTATGTCAGGCCCAGAGAATATGGGTGGAGTCGTAAATGTTTTAAATTAGACCCACTTATCCTCAGTGACTTGTCTTGTGGGACTTAGGTAGACAATAATTCCAATGTTAGACCTGTGTTGTCTTCACACTTTGTGAAATGCTTCATTACTCTCGCTTGGATCAGGAAGTCCAGATACCAACACTTTGTAAACCAGTGAGGTGTGATACCGGCAGAGGAAGAGTAGAAAGCAGATCCTATTAGACGTATCTCTTCGCACAGCAACAACAACACTTCCGTCACCTAATGGTCCATCACGTCTGACGTACTCAACAAGGGTACTCAGTATTGAAAAAAAGAGTATAAACATTTTTAACCTGTATCCAGTGATAAAAATAGCATAGTCTGTGGCTAGCTCGACGGAGTCAGACTGGATGCAACTTGGCGAAAATCCAAAATGACAACCAGTAGTTGGATAAGCAGATCCAAGTCAGTAAACACGTACAAGCATGTAGTCGTAGCCATCTGCTCGACAGGTGTTCATACCGATAAGCCTTCACCACACATTAGTTACATTTTGCAAAGGGCTCATTTCCCTCTTTCACGCCTGGCTGTGACCCTTAGAGCCGGAAGCAGTACGTGTGGAATGGTAAACCGATTCGATTGATGGTGTGGCGTTTTGTAGACTATGGGCATCCACTCCGTGATGTGGGAGCTGCAGACTGGCCTCTTCCCGCCCGGATGGTATGCTTAATCAAGCGCAAAAGACAGCAGAAAAATCGCTCATTAAAAGTAATGCAAAATGCAATTCAGGATTTTTTGTGCAAATCAACACATAACTTCACGAAGAATACCACATTTTCCAACTTCGCTCTGTTATGAAGCCAAATTTTTTTTTGGAACACAAAACCAATGGTTAAATCAAAAATTATAGATGATTGCTTTCAACGTCACTTCGCCACAACTTAAAATAATTTAGTAAATTTTAAAATGCAACACGATGGTTGCCGAGCTAAATTAATTCAACAAAGTCCGCTCTTTGTGCATAATTTAAATTTGCTTTAGAGGGTAAGTATAAGTGTGCTCGAAATGAAAGAATCGAAAGGATTTACTCCATTCTCACAATTATATCGCAGATTAATAAAAGAGGGGAAAGTTTTGCCAAATTTTCTAAACATTTGTGCCTTTTGTACGGCGGTTTTGGACAACCAAAACGAATTCGTTATAAATGTCCACCTGAATGATAGCGACGACCTTTTCACTACGGTAACGTTGTCTCCATACGCTAAGCGCGCTCCGGGTCTTACTGCTAAACAGTCACTTTAAACAACAAATATTGTGTGTCACTTCCTTTAGCCGTCGCTGTCTTTTCCGACTGCTTTGTGGTTCCGCGCATTCCGATTTTGAGTCCCCGCCATTCGTGTACACTTATCGAGAAATTGCCAATAGGACATTCCATGATTTTCCTGTTAGTTAACCATCATTCCCATTAATTGCATTTACTTTTATACTTTTCGCCTTGCATCTAGGTGTCGGCTTAGAAATGAAGTATCTGGAAACCAAATTAAGGGTTTCATCGTACAAAAAAGAATGTATGATTGCATTTTAGGCCCCCGCACCTGTTTCTGAGATCTGATTTTAAAGTGATAAATGGTTGTGTATGTAAACTTACTCCACATATTTTGTATTTTTGTGATCTTCATTGGTAAGGAAGGAAAAACTGCCGACTTGCTTCCGGAACCACCAGATGTGCCTTGACAGTTTGGAAATCCTTTAAACCGTGTAGTCTGTTAGCTCATCGAGGTACTTTCTGCGTTTTCAAGCATTTCAATTTCATCTGGACATAAAAGTGCTATTCATAGCTATGACAGCTCGCGGTTTGATACCTTTATGCCTTCAAAACTCCGATTTGACATGTTATTTTCAATATACGGTTGTTGCACCTTTTTTCAATTTTTAAAGTTGATATTTTCAGAGGCAGCAAGCAAAATACTGTGCACTTATCGTTTTGAAATGCACCCATTGCCTTGGTAGGCATAACAGCCACCCCAAACACCGTTTCTCTGTTCCCTTTACACAAATACATTTCCACACCACTAAAAGTACATTTGAAGCGTCATAAATAAAAGCATTTTAATGCAAAGCACTTCATAAAAATTCGGTAGATTAATTCATTGAAGAGATAATAAATGTGTCTACCAGCATAGTTATCTTCGCGGTGATAGTTGTGGTCCTGATAAATAAATACCTGAGTAAACATTCTGCAAAAAAACGTATTGCGTAAAAAGATGCATCTTTACTCTCCAAACAAGGTAGTCTACACTTGTTGAGGGATTGAGAATTTTCTACTCTCCCATAATAAACAAAATGGCGGCCTTCAACCATGAGGAACGATGGTTTATCCTCTCATTCACGTTTCTCCAAGGTGGTGGCGGTGGTGGTGGTGGTGAATGAGCTCTGAAAACTGGATGAAGACTTATACCTTCATTCCGGTGAAAATGGGGTGACACATTCCACAATAGATTATCAGCCAAGTTTTTGGTAAAAACGCTTAAAATAAAGCTCTTATGCTCCCGGATTGATCAACTGCTGACATCCAAAAAGAGGTTGGAAGCATTTTGATGCTTTTGGGGCGTGTAAAGCAGTGAACAGGTTATTCAAATAGCTGATGCGTTGTTAGTGCCGGAGGGTTTCGCAGAGGCTGCCAAATGGCATGTTGGCATTTTGAGTGCGCACTCCTCCTCCCTCCTCCACTGTAGCAAGTGGCAGCCAGTCTAAAAGTAATTCTGTGTCAAATGACCCTATTGCTAACTTTTTTATTTCATTTAAGTAGGAAGCCTGTGCTTTACCTTGTCACCGTTCGAATAGTTCAAAGTGCATTGCCTGCCCAGTATATGGAGGTCTCTGCCTTCTCCTGGTGCAAGGCATTCGGCTATTTCGAAACACTTCTATTACACTTGAGATAATGGGAGAGTCGATAGTGCACTGGACTAGGCAGCGGTGCATGGTCTCCGTCAACAGCAGATACAATCGTTCCGCTCCTCAATAAAGACATTTGCTTCGCTTTTTTCGTCCATCCTCGAAAAATTCATTCAAAGAAATATAAGTATTATGCACATTCCTTCCAAATGTCAGCTCAAATATTAATCCCGGTTTTAAATTGTTGAGACTGGTCTAGCCACGAGAGACAGAGCCAAGAAATGAAGTTGTAATATTTACTTTTCTTAAAAAAAATCCTCCATGCGGAGTGTATTGTGCGAGGCATGTAGAAATGCCTCACGTAAGCATGGCGCTCTGTCTGGCAGCGAACCCGAGGGCACGAAGTCGATGCCGTTTAGCCTCTCGAGTCCTCCTTTGAGCCGAAATGCGACAATTATAGCACGGAGAATGCAGTGCTGACGTACAGAGTGCTGGGGAGCTATTATGCGTCCTTTTTATCAGTGATTTTATTGTGGAAGGTTCGATAATAAAAGCGTAGTTTTAATTACTACGGGTTTTCGGAGCAGTTAGGTCTTGATAAAAATAGCTACTTTGTGATGTATGTGCACATGGTTGAGGTCAGAAGAGGACAGTAGCAACTAAAAGATACTCGTACAGTCCTTTGGCTTAACCGGGAATTTGTGACTGGCTTTGAATAGGCTTAATCTAAATAACCGACAGGATGAATCCAGAATATCACGATCTACTCGCTAAAACTAAAAAAAATATGGACTTCGTTTGCCGATGCGAGTCAAACTTAACTCTCAAGCGACCTTCTCCTACGATCTTTAGTGAAAAACCTCATACCTCTAATAAATTTTCTTATATGTTGCAATCACTTAAATACTTCGGCAACTTTGGATGCCACCTTTTTGACTTCCTGCATCGTTCAGCACAGTATCTCCGTCTGTGCTCCTTCGGTGCTTAGCCTTAGTTTTCTTGGCTGAAGGGTCTCTCTGCGAAGGTTTATCAGGCCTCTCCAAAAGGCACAGGCTGAGAAGGAAATCTGGATACGGTTGAATGTATCTATGCTAGTCTTGCGAAGAATCCCTACACTCCCCCACGATGGAATTCTTATTGACTTTCCACTTCTCTCTTGCAGAGAACAGTTTAAACAACGAAGGTGTATTACATTCATATTCCCAGTATCCGGTAGCTCCTTCTCACGAGCAATAATTTTCCCTTTAAAGGTGGATTTAGCCAACTTTATAACATAAAATAGAACAAACATCAAAATTTGCCTTGTTATAAATGGTCGACAGTAAAAAGAGCTTTTTGATCCATCATAGTAATTCAGGGTCAGGCTTGTTCAAAAAACTGAAACATTTTTGCACCAAAAACCCAACAGAGTAAATAGATCTGCCTCGTTAAAATGGTGTGGGTCTAGTTAAGTTAGTACAAAAGGATTATGTTGTTCTACGTCCTCCTACCTGGTTGCAATGTATCGAGTTATGTAATTCTATTCTTGCGTAGTTTAAATGCGCCTTAAGGGCTCACAGCGGGATAATTTAATTTTCATTGCATGAAAGACTATTTAATTATAGGGTCATACCCTCCATGTGAAAGCACTGGCACACCATACATCAACATAGAAATTTTTCTCGCCCTCTTCTACTATTCGAAAAATTATGGCTCCTTTACCAATCTCTTTGACATTTTCCTCTTCTATTTTAATTTAGATAGTAGCCTTAATTTCTGTAACCTTCATTCTCTTGTCAACAATTGGATTGGCTCTGAACTCACTGGCAATGCCTCAAGAATTTCGAAACCACACGGTAGAGGCATCCGGTGGCATCAACAGAACATACCGATTTAAAGAACACTCCAATCGTTTTGAAGCAAACGGGAACACCCAATACCACTTGGACAATCTGGAGCTGGTCTGCATTATCTGGTTCACCGTTGAATATCTGGTCCGATTCGTCGTGGCACCTTACAAATACCGTTTTCTGAAAAGTCCCATGAACTTAATAGATATGATTGCCATTCTTCCATATTACGTCTCAAAAGCTCTGGACTCACTTACAGCCATTAGCAAAGTTGTCCAAGTCTTTCGACTACTACGTGTCCTCCGAGTCCTCAAACTAGCACGGCATTCCATTGGCTTGCAAGCATTGGGGTACACTGTTCGCAGATCCTACAAGGAACTTGGCCTCCTGATGATGTTTGTAGCCATGGGTGTGCTTATATTTTCCAGTCTTGCCTACTTTGCCGAGAAGGACGAGAGAGACACTAAGTTTGAGAGCATTCCTGCCACCTTTTGGTGGGCCATAATCACCATGACAACAGTTGGATATGGCGACATGAGTCCGACAACCACATGGGGCAAAGTGATTGGATCCGGTTGCGCCCTCTGTGGAGTGCTTGTTCTCGCCATGCCAATTCCAATAATTGTGAATAACTTTGCGGAATTTTACAAGGATCAAATGCGACGAGAGAAGGCGGTTCGACGACAGGAGGAAATGCAACGTGCACGACAATGTGAAAGTCTTAGTTCTGGCAGCCTGGAATTAGATCAAAGTTTAATGGAAGGTGGTGTGCCGAGGAATATGAGTGGAAATACAACGACAAACTGTAAAAAGACCGTGTTTCATGATGGTTCTGGAAACCGATACAGCGAATGCCACGTCGATATGGAACGGACGTTGAGTGAACCATTAGACCTCGGAGGCTCTTTTAGTCATCCCATAATGAAGAGTCGTACATCCTCATTTGACGACTTAAACACTCGAAAGCACTCTATGGACGTTGCAGTACAGGTTCACACTTGCACAGAACCTAGCGTACCAACTTAGAAAGGTTAGCTTGGCAAGTAAGCCGTTTCCTAAGTCTAGCCGAGGCTTCAGACTCCTGAATGACTTTTTATTGTCTTTTTAGTACACACCTGTGGACCACGACATCGATCAAATCTATTTTTGATAAAGCCAAATGACAATCAAAGCTCAATGGAGCGGCACTAAGGCCGTGTACTTATGCACCTATAGTATACGGTGGAGGTGACCAACGTTTATTTTGGTCTTCAAATTGAACATATCTGATCATTTCTTGTTTGTTTTGGCGCTAAATTTATTAGCATAGGTTATTTTTGTGCAAACTCATTGTTAGCTCCTCCTCAACACCCTCCTCAGAAGGCCTGGAACTTTCTTTTGTTCTGTTGCCAAGGCATACCCTAAAGATTAACAGATTTGAGGAAGGAAGATTAGCAAGTCTAACTTTACTACCGTGTCCACCGTTTTCCCCCAAATAAAGGCTTTCATTTAAGATTACAATTAAGTGCTACTAAATAGTTATTATTAGCATTGACTTCTAGAAATAATCGTCATCGCATTATTCTGGTTACTTCTCCACTTTAAAATTAAATGAAGGAACGATTTTCTCCATTCAGTACTTTCGAAAACTGAGGAGAAGGTGGGTCAGAGGAAGGTTAAAAATTAGGCCATGTAAGGTGGAGGAGTGTGTGTGGTTTGTTGGAGGTTGAAGCTCTGGGATCGGAGGACTGTTTTTTGAGATGTGCAATAGTAGAGATCTCAAAGTGAATTCATAATTTATCTATTAAAAATACCACTCCTCCTTAAGAGAGAGGAGGTTGACTGGCGCTGTCACCGGTGTATAGTCAGCATCACTTTTATCCAACACCCATATGACTTTAAGATCCTTATGTCATTCATATGGACAATACAGCTAGTGGTGCTGAAAGGAGAAGAAAGAGTCAGTCCAGGTAAAGGGTCAAGTTGGACCTTCGTGCGAGCACCGCGTATTAATTTATATCCCGCCGCTGACCAACAAGGCGCGCTTAAACAATGGGTATGTATTGCAGTCACAGTTGTTAATAATTCTCTAAATAAAAATGTAAAGTGGAAAAATGTGTTTTGTTGTGCCAGAGTTATTTTGCTGAGAGTTGAGGTGTCAGTAATTAGCTACAGAAAGCGAATAACAGCCAACCATTTTACCCCATTTTAGAGACTTCATATTCCTGTATTTGCGTAAACGGCAACTAGAAAAAGCACCAAAACTTTCTTTAACACAAGCCTATTTGTAAATGAAACATTTGCAGGCATACTAAGTTCATTTGAATACGAGCTACAATTCAATATTTGCGTTGTCAGTGTAGCATCCCGAGACTTCCACCAAGTACAACGCATTAATTCAAGGAGAAAAGGGTGCGATTGGACGTTAGCTTGGTCCGAAAGTCAGCCCACGCGCACAGTAGCAAGACAACAGCCAAAGTGTCCGCCAGTCATAAAGGTGATCAACATTGTCCCACTCTTCATATGGGCGACAGCCTCAGTGCTATCCTCAGTACAACTCCTGCGCCAGCCATCACAACATATCCGCTGCTACAGGGCGAAACACTCACCAGCCAGCCGCGTCGGCCGTCGGCTATCATGAATCTGAGGGACTGTGCTCGGCCTTCTCAGCAGCTTCCACCGGGTCTGCAGTTGCGCTCGGTCTGAGGGCAAGAATCGTAGAGAGGCACTTCCCACGGCCATCAACTACATCCGGGCATAGACGTTGGAGCGCTGGTCCAAAACAGTCGCCTAGCATAAAAAATAGAATCAAACACGATCCTGTATGAAACTTACTTTGACGTGGTGCCATCTCTGACACCTATGCGCGGACGTAGTTAGGAGGAACTCCGATACGAAGCTGTCCGCATGGTTCACGACAATATCGCTTCAATGGTTAATAGCTT